GCCCTGCCCTCTGCCACCCGGGAGCAGGCCTAAGCCAGCAGGTCGTTATCTCCTGAGGGGTCCCAGACTGCGAGAGGGCACAGGCCATGCTGAGGAACCCCCCTCCCCCCCGAGTGCACACATTTTTGTGCACCGGGCCTTTAGTCTTTATATATAAAAGCCTAAGCGACCATTATGACCGAATGACCACAATGACTGGTTCACCAGTTGCTGTGATGCTCACTGACCACCAGGGGGCAGGTGTTCAATTCAGGTGGTCAGTGTGCTCCCACAGCCAACCTCCCGTGGCCACCCCCCTCCTCCCTGGCCAGCCCCCATCGGACCCTGGTGCTAAACCATTTGTAGAGACCTGATTCTGGGTCAGGGTTTCATATGTAGCAAAGCAGCTCCCTCGCTGTGATCTGTTGAATGTCAGCCCCCGATACAAGGGTTTGTCTTGCTACCATTCTCTCCTTTCCCCGCCCGCCCGCCATGGTGGTGGTGCAGCAGTGAGAGAAGGAGGAGTGGGGGAGGTGGGGAACTGCACAGTGGCAGGGCACCAAGGGCGGCGTTGGCCTCTGGCGTCTGTTCCTTCTGTGACCTGCCCAGCGACCGTTTCCTCCTCTTCCAACCCTGCTGGGGCATTCGGGCCCGGGCTGGGATGGGGAACTGGGGTTGGATGGTGGCATATGCAGTACCTTTTCCAGGACAGCTGAGGGCCAGCAGCCAACCTCCTCTGGCCCCTTCCCCCCAGCCAATCTCCTGTGTCCCTCCCCTTCCCAATTCCTCCGTGCACAAATTCGTGCACAAAATCGTGCACCGGGCCTCTAGTGTATACATATGCATTCCATTGTGCACAGTATGTGTATAACTGCCTTCCTTTGCTCATTTTTTTTTTAGGTTTTATTCAGTTCAGTGTATCCCTAGTGTTTTGTTTTTATTTTTGAGTAGCATTCCATTGTGTGACTATACCACAGTTTGTTTATTCTGTCATGAATCTCAGGACCTTGGGCTGTTTAAGATTTTCTTTTTTAACATTAGAAATGTTGATAGAGTAATAAAATTTAAGGTTTCATAAATCCAATCATTTTAACACAAAACACTCATTTTTACATTGCCTTTTAGTCCATAACAATATATAATTTTCATGTTTGTAATTATTGTGTACATGGCATTTTATAACTTTTTATTGATTAACAATACCTCTTTAGATGGATGCCCCTTGTGTCCTCATCACATAGTTTATTCTTTTTCCACCATCTCTCCTTACTGCCTTCTAGTTTTTAATTAATAACATTGTAATAAACATCTTTTCATATTACACTAGTCTTCCACTTTGTATTTTAACTACCTTAAGGTGAGGTTATTTTGTAGAGCCATATGTTGTTTGTAAATAAATGCTTGAACTTCATACTTAAAGGTCAAGAGTTCTGAATAACTTTTTTTCTTACTATGCCAGTGAAACCAATCCGTAATCTAAATGGACATTCAATTGGGCCATACAGAATACATGCTGGGAAAACAGTGCCCATTGTGAAAGGAGGAGAGGCAACAAGAATGGAGGTATGTATGTTCTTTGTGAAGCATTTTGATTTTTTTCCCCCAAACTAAAGCTAGTGATAGTATGTTGAGCAAAATTAACTTGCCATTTATATTTACCTTGACAGGGATTGGGCCATATTAGTATGCACATTTTTTTTCAAATATGCTTTTACTGATTTTAGAGAGAGAGATTGCCTCCTGCACACACCCCATTCGGGGATTGAATCGCAATTTGAGTATATGCCCTGACCGGGAATCGAACTGGCAGCCTTTTGGTACTTGGGATGACGCACAACCAATTGAGCCACACCGGCCATGGCATTAGTGTGCAAATTTTATCTAGTCAGATCAGGGCTCAAGTCAGTTATGTAAAATTGGGTGTGTCACAGGATTATTCATTCAACACGTAGTGAATATTTACTGAGCATCATGGATGTGCCTTCCAGCCTCTTCAGTAGGCACTAAGGATATAGTAGTGAACAAAACAAAATTCCCTGCCCATGTAAGACCTACATTCTAAAAAGAGGACGCAGAAAGACCAAAAAGCGCTAAGGAGGTAAAAAGCAGGGAAAGGTAGATAAGGACTGCCAACGGTATTTCATGTTGTTTCTTCCATGAAGTAGGGAATACCTCAGCCTGGCGTTAAGATATGCTAATTTTAATTTGTTCTTAATTTTTCTTGTCTCTATTCTAATGTGTTTTTTAGGAAGGAGAAGTATATGCCATTGAAACCTTCGGTAGCACAGGAAAAGGCGTTGTTCATGATGATATGGAATGTTCACATTACATGAAAAATTTTGATGTTGGACATGTGCCAATAAGGTGAGAGACTTATTTCTGTATGACTAGTGATGTTCTCTTCCCAGTTAACAGCTATTTTAAAAATGTGAAAAATATCCACAGTGATAGTTTTATAGCTTAATATCCAATTCTGTGGATTTCCATAATGCAGCAGAGATTGGCCTGTTAAAAATTTTAACTGAGATGAAAATGATGTAGGTAACTATTTTCTTCAGGTCCAGTTTCTAATAATTGTAATAATTTCAGAGATAATAATTTTGCAGTATGTCTAGATTTTTTTCTTATATTTGGTAAACTTTTTATTTACTTTAAAAAAATCTTTTTGGGTAGGTGGGTGAAAGATTTACACCTACTTTATGGGCAGGTCTTTCAGCTTGATGCCTATAAAAAGAAATTCTCACCAGAATACTGTTGGTGAGTCTGTATTGGGAATTTCACACATGCATAGGCATAGACATGATAAGAGCCTTCATCTGGCTTCCTATTCAGCTGCCATCTATAATTAGATATGGGCTATTATATATCCTGGCTTTTGAATGTGGAAACAGGCAACAACAAAATTTTTTTAAAACTTTAAGTAAAGCTACAGCTACCATTTGCGTTTTCCTTAGTGGGGAAGTGAGTTTTGGTAACTTTTTAGCTAACTATTAATCTTGGATTTTCTCCTTTTAGGCTTCCAAGAACAAAACACTTGTTAAATGTCATCAATGAAAACTTTGGCACCCTTGCCTTTTGCCGGAGATGGCTGGATCGCTTGGGAGAAAGTAAATACTTGATGGCTTTGAAGAATCTGTGTGACTTGGGCATTGTAGATCCATATCCACCATTATGTGACATTAAAGGATCATATACAGCACAGTTTGAACATACCATACTGTTGCGTCCAACATGTAAAGAAGTTGTCAGCAGAGGAGATGACTATTAACCCTAGTCCAAAGTCACATTAACGTCTTTTATTTTGTAAGCCTTGTTGGAATACATTATACCAGTATTGATTTGCGACATGTTGTCTGTTTAACAGTGGACCTATATAATACTTTTATTCGTGTTTAAAAAGGAAGGAATTTGATCAAAGGCAAACCATCTAGTGTAATTAACCATGGAAAAAGCTTTCAGGACTTCATGTTAACTGTTTTTACTCCTGTCTAGAAAATGCTATAAAGTTCAAATTAGTTAGGAATGACTTAAGCATTTTGTTTTGAACACCAAAAAGATGCTTTTCAAATATTTATATTGCCATATTCTTATTTGAATGCTTTGAATGACTACATCCAGTTCTGCACCCATACCTTCTGGTATTGCTTTTTAACCTTCCTGGAATCCATTTTCTAAAAAATAAAGACATTTTCAGACCTAAGAGCTACATTTCAATGTCTGTGGTTATAATTTTGCACAGAAAATAGCTAAACTTAATGTACTGGATTTAGACCTTTACACTGAAACTTTTTTTTCTGATATAGTGGCTAAACAAGATCTATACATGTATAAAGTAGGAGAAGCTTCATAAATTAATATACAGCTTTAGGAATATTTTGCCTTTTTTTAAGGACCTTATCTTTAGGACCTTATATTAGTCCTTATCTTTCATTTTTTTCTCTGGCATTGGAAAGATCTATTTGTAACATGACTTAGGAATATTGTACAACTTGAAACCTTGATTTAGTAAACTAACATTTAGATCCTTTGTCCAGTGCTATATTTATTAGGAAAGGTATTCAGCTTGCTTGGTAAACCAAAAATGCATTTAAAACCACAAAAACAGGAAAATTTTCCATGATTAGGTCTTATTCTAGTTAGAAAAGTTAAATTGAATTATTAGTCTTTTTCATTAGTGAACCAAATTCTTTAGCACCCTGTACCTCGACTGGCTTAGATTTATAACATTATGGGTGATATTTCAGGAAGTGAGGTTATAGTGACTTATTAAAGCAGCTAAGTGCATAAGTTGAATGTAAGATGCATAATACTTGAACTGAACCCCACTACCAATTTTTGAACAAACTGTTTGAATTTTATGTAAATTATTTTGGGGAATGTTTCAACAAATTTTCAAAATAGTTATGTACTAAGGTAAAGCCTTAATTTGTATGTTTAGCACAGTAACATTTATTGCCTCTGGGATGCTGTTTTGTATTTTAATGTTTTTCTCATAGGAAGAGAAACCTGACTTCTGTACTTAGATCTTTTATTATACATTAAAAAGCCGCTTTCAGCATTCAAGCTTAAATGAATGTTATCTTGTGGGATAAACAATCTAGTTTAGCTATATGAGCCATGTTTACTATGGTGCTAATGTTCAGTAGCTATCTTTGAATAAGTTCTCCATTTTCTGTGATGTGCTAGTGGCAGAGCTCACCAGTTTGTGCTTGGAGATGTTACAGGGCTTGGGCCCTCCAGCTAGCTCTTCTGGAGTTTTGAGTCCATACTATTTTGATGTGCTTTGGAGGGAGGTATAAAGTATCCTGATTTCCAAGCCCCTGAATTTTAGAATTGACCTTTTGAGTCAAGAATTTTGGAGCTTTGTGAGATCTCTTTAGCAGTAGTGATCTCAAACCATTTATGAAATCCAAGCTCCCTTCCCAGGTAACTGTTGGAAGCAGTAGCATCACTTACATGCTGCTGGAATGGCTGGAAGGGATATGATCTTGTATATAGAAAAGCTTTCACTTAAGAAAAAACTGTATTGTTTATCTGCTAGCCATGTATCTCTTGAAATCATTCTGTCATGTTTATAATGATGTACCTTATTGGTAACCAATTATTAGTTTGAATGTTTAACAATAGTGCCTTTAGTAAATTATTTTACAACCAAAACGTTGTTTTTGTTAGATCAATTTAGCATAATGTAGAAGCCCACATTAAGATGTTCAATAAGAAATCTTAAGTTTTTGTGCATTGTCTAGGTTTTAGTTTCACTTTAATAGACTTTTTTAAGATCTGATTTAGGTGAGCAAAAGTTACCACATACTTCCTTGACCTCACACATAGCACCCCTCCATAGGTTTTAATTTTAAGGGATTACAAAGGGCTAAGCCACTTTATTTCTTATACATTGCATTGAAATAAGTACTAAAAACAAGCAACTTTCCTATAAAATAGGCTAATATGCAAATTGTCCCCTGGACCAGGAGTTCGACCACGGGGTGGGGCCGGCCAGCCAACCACCCATGCCCCCAAGCTCCCAGGCCGGCCCTGCCCAATCAACAAGGGGCCAGCTGGACCCTACCCATGCATGAATTTGTGCACCCAGCCTCTAGTACCATTATAAACAACATAGGTTTCAGAGTTGTTTTAAAATATCCCCCTAAAATTAGGTGTTAAAAGGTATAGCAGTTGATCTAAGTACAGTGGGGCCTTGACTTACGGGTGTCCCGACTAACAAGTTTTTTTTTTTTTCTTTTAACTTTTAAACTATATTTATTACTGGATTTTCAAAATAGAACCTATGTTGAAAGTGTTAGACTGACACATACTTGTTGAGCAGCTAAAAAATCTTTTTCCTTTAAAAAATAGGCTGGAAAATCCATGTGTTTCCTACTCTCTATTCAAGTTCCTGAACCTCACTTAATATGAATTCTGAGATTCCACGATTCAAAGTATCTATTGAAAGCCAGCAACCATGAAAAATAGAGGACTGCATATTCAGAACATGGTGTCATTTAAAACTCCCTCTCTCGGCCGATTTTTTGCATTGAGTTGATAGAGTAATCTGAGTTAAGGAGCTTGTTAATGAGCTCGGTCTCGGAACAAATTAAACTCGTAAGTCAAGGCCCCACTGTATAAAGTAATCCTTGAAATAAAGACTATACTCAGTATCTTCACCACATAAGTCTTTAATGAGGTATAATTACATTAACAGTTGAGGTAATGATTTGCATAGGTATTGAATAAATGATTTTAATCCTTAGCCATTTAACACTCGAGTTGTATTTTTGGCATAAATGATTTGTCTGTTCAGTGATAAAGTCTCATTGCACTTCACAAAGCTACCACAGATGACTTGTTCTCTGAAATTTAAGGAAAATTTGCCAATAGAGGTTGTCCTTCACAAGCTTATACTTAGATGATCACTAGTGGAGAACAGCATTTAACATACTATTTTCCATTAAGAATTCAACCTGCAAGCAGACCCGCTTAAAAAAAAAAGATCTAGTGGTTAACACTGAATTCTTACAGAGCTGATCAACATATATTAGTGGATTCTCCTCTTTCTGAAATAAAGTTAGCAGCAGTAGGATTTTAAAGAGATCTGGTAAGATTATTAGGGAAGAACAGAGTCATACTATGTGTTTTTAATAAAATGCAAGATTATATAATTTTAAATGTCAGGACCCCATGTTTGAATATCTGAGAAGCTCCTAGTATTCACATAATCCTAGCAAGAGTGAGCAGTCCAGACCTTAGAAAAATGAGATGCATATTACCCAGCTGCCAGTTTTGAAGATTTACCTTCTCTGCCCTGTAATTTTTTCTTCAAGAAATACATTTTATTCCATGAAGAATCTCAGGATATGCAGTACAAAGTCTTAAAAGATTTAATATTTAGACATAAAATGATTTCATAACCAAATAAAATTGTACTTGTATAACAATACACTGTTTGGTAAATTCAAGTTTTTTATATTACTTCATTAGAATCAGGACAAACCAGTTTGCTGCCAGATGAATCATTAAGTCCCAACCATCATTGTTTTTATGTCCACAGAACTGAAGTTATTTAAGCATACTATTTATAAAGCTGTCATTTTCATTTGTATAGTTGAGTATGCCAACTGAAGAACAATTATTAAAAATAAATTTAAGCCCTAACCGGTTTGGCTCAGTGGCTAGAGCATCGGCCTGCAGACTGAAAGGTCCCAGGTTCAATTCCGGTCAAGGGCATGTACCTTGGTTGCGGGCACATCCCCAGTAGGGGGTGTGCAAGAGGCAGCTGATTGATGCTTCTCTCTCATCGATGTTTCTAACTCTCTATCCCTCTCCCTTCCTCTCTGTAAAAAAAATCAATAAAATATATTTAAAAAAAATAAATTTAAAAAAAAATGAAGTTCCTTTAACAACAGTAATGTCTTCTGATCCCTGTAATACATAAAGCTTCAGGAATATCGATGTGATTGATAAGTATCTTTTCTCTTTGAAATTGTAATTTACCTTCAAGGGGCAAAGGTAACTTCAACATACAAATAGCCTGAAAGAATTGACTTTTGGTTAAGATTATTAGTGAAGAAAGTGTATATAATTTTCCATAGAATAAATTTGTTTGGAAAATAGCTACAAAAGATAAATGTACAGCCCTAGCTGGTTTGGCTCAGTGGATAGAGCATCAGCCTGTGGACTGAAGAGTCCCAGGTTCAATTCTGGTCAAGGGCACATACCCAGGTTGGGGGCTTAATCCCCATTGGGATACGTGCAATGATTTCCTTTCATCATTGATGTTTCCCTCTCCCTCTCTGAAATCAATAAAAATATATATACTATACAAAGATAAATGTATAAAATGATACCACCTGAACTTCAGTACAAATTCATGATGTGCCAATCCTATATAATAAAACCCTAATATGCAAACAGACTGAATGGCGGGACGACTGGTCGCTATGATGTGCACTCACCACCAGGGGGCAGACACTGAACGCAGGAGCTGCACCCTGGTCAGTGCACTCCCAAAGGGGAAGTGCTGCTCAGCCAGAGGCAGGGCTCATGGCTGGCAAGTGCAGCCACCTCTGCAGCAGTGCTAAGAACTCCTAGGAGGATGTCATAAGCTGGCAGTGGGACATCTCCTGATGCGTCCTGGACTGCGAGAGGGCACAGGCCGGGCTGAGAGACACCCCCCTGCCTCCCAGCCCCATAGTGCATGAATGTCCTGCACTGGGCCTCTAGTTAAAATATAAAAGAGGTAGTAACACCAGTCTGAGGTAAATACTAAAAGCTTAAAACTCCCCAAGTACTTGAAAAAAGGTTACCTATCATTGATATACATATATTTATGCTTTGTCTCTGTAAAAAGACTTGTAGATAAAAAATTATAAACATAGTATGCACTGATTCATAAGTACAAAATAAAAACAAAGCTCAAAATTGTAAATAAGCCCTTTGAGAAAATATATACACAAATCGCAATAAGCCCCACTATCTTTGGATCAACTAAGCTTTTCATTAAAGGTATCAGCTTCTTCATTAGGAGGTAGGCTACCAGACAGGAATTCTGGAGGCAAGAGTTTAGAATGTCCATTCTCAGTAACTCGCTGGGTATAAAACAAGATATAAGCTTGGGCCTTGCGTACTTCATCCATAGTGCACATGCTTAGCTTGGAATCATTGCAGTGTACCCAGAACCCTAGAGTGAAGCACAGAAATATACCTTAATGTTTATAAAGGAACGAGAAATTTCTATTATAAATTAAAACATGGATTTAGAAGCAATCGTTTCAGTGAGTTCAAGTTTTTTTAACTTTTCAGTTATAGTTGACATACAGTATTATAGTAGTTTCAGGTGTACAATATGGTGATGTTTTTATACCTTACAGTCTGATACCCTAATCTAGTACCTATCTGGCACCATAGGTATTACAATATTATTGAATGTTCCCTAAGCTGTACTTTACATCCATCCCTGTGGCTATTTGTATAACTGGCAATTTGTACTTCATAATCTCATCTTTTTCACCCATTCTCCTTGAACCCCTCTCATATCTGGGAGCCATCGATTTGTTCTCTATATCTGAGTTTGTTTTGTCCTTTTGTTTTTTAGATCCCATATAGGTTTAAGTGAAATCATATAGTATTTGTGTTTCTTTGTCTGACTTCAATTAGCATATTACCATCTCCATCCATGTTGTTGTAAGTAGGAAGATTTCTTTCTTTTTTATGGCTGGATGATATTCTACTTATGTACATCTTTATCCATTCATCTATCAATGGACACCTAGGTTGAATTAAGCTACTTTTTTAAGAGAAAATAATTGTCCTGCCTATTCATTTCTTTTAGTGAGAAATACAGCTTAGGCAGTATGTTACTCCGGAATTATCTACCTTTATCCTAGAAGTAATTTGAAGTTACTGATTACTTGACACTATTTACCAGTTAATGATTTTGCTGCTTATCACACTATAAAACCAATAGTATACAACTGACTCTTGATACTTTAGTGTTAAATTACCTTCCTGAATTAACTGGGCTTTTTGTCCATACGTCTTTTCTGATTTTTGGGTTTTTGTGTGTGTGTGTTTTTGTAGGTGTATGTGTTGGGGGAGGGGAGGGAAAATAGGTGTCAAGAAGAGGCTCATCCTTTAACAGTAGGAAGGGAAAGGGGAAATAAAATATGAAACCTAGATTCAATCACTTTTGCCACCTATGAAGGATCCATGGAGGCAGACCTTCAGTATTTTCTATGAGCAATAATGCAGAAATATTCTTGAAAGAAAACAAGAGATAAGTGGCTTTGTTTAAGATGATCTAGAGGCCAATTTAGAAACTGCTAGAGCCTGAACTCCAGCTGCCAAGTCTAACCCAAGATAAAACACTTCTCCCCATCTATACCTCCTTCAGAATTATAGCAGTAGGCAGTGTAGTGTCCTGAGCCAAATCCTTTCCCATGGTGCATTACTACAGCAGATAAATCATAGATAAAACATTCTGGTCTGAGGGATTTCACGGACTCCCTGCAGCAATAGGGCTCCATGTTTAAGATTTCTTTAAAGTCAACATGAACACCAATCTTCTCCCGGTTATTACGTCCTGACCATCTGTGAACAAACCAGGGTAAAAGTATTAACAAAATCAATGGAAAATAACCAGGTACTAGGTTCAGATAGTCAATGTGGTCATACTTCCCAGTACTGGATTGAAGCATGGCAAGCAGTGTTTTTATCAATGTACATAGTATGAGCTAGTGTTATGGGGGGTGGGGGGGGGGGGAGTAATGTAATAATATGGTAGTTCTTTCAAAAGATTCTAATCCATTTACGATGGTTTGGAACATAGAAAAAAGGCAGACTTCAATGAAAATGATATTAAGTTACTAAATAAAACATGAGGTTAAGACAAACAATAGCAGATAAGAGAGGGAAGAAGAAAGGCTTATAGACAGGTTTTTAAAGGAAAAAAACATGAAAATGCTTTTTAGTACAATGTTAAAAATGGTATGGTACTAAAGTAAGGCTTGAACATTATATTTTCTGCTGGACTAAGAATAGGTGTCAAGAAGAGGCTCATCCTTTAACAGTAGGAAGGGAAAGGGGAAATAAAATATGAAACCTAGATTCAATCACTCCCATATTCAATCATATCCCACTCCTTCCCCAGGAACTGTATAAAAGATCCTGCATCCAATGCAACTTCACCTTTAGTAAAGATGGGAGAACAGACAAAAATAATGGGACATACTTAACATGAGACATTCCTATCATTCTCATTTTCTCTTTTACTTTACCATAAAATCCAAACCTTATATTAATTATGCTAAATGAACACTTGTAAGCCATCTAAATAGAAAATACTCATTCCTATTGATAAATTGAGTACTCACGTTTTTTTTT